ACTATAGTGGCAATTACTGTGAACAGGGTTAGTCAATGGTCATGCGAATTTATTTCTGCAGCTTTTCGTTTAGTTTCGTGTGGCCAAACCTTCGTTTCGGCATCGAGTGGCACAATTTCATCACCCCACTATCCCAAACATTATCCGTACATGTCCAACTGCCATTACACAATTCATGCAAACAGAACAGGGTACAAAGTCCTTCTTACAATCAACAAATTCGACCTAGAAACTTCGCCAGACTGCTTTGCTGACTTCCTGCAGATTCAGCTGTCTGAAAATCCTGCTACCACAATAAGGTGAGGCAATTTGTTGTTAATCACCCTTGCGTCCGCGGCGCGAAACGTTTATTTAATATTGCAGTAAGCGACTTATGCACAGTATGTGCATTTGTTATGGAGTTCCGATGTCACTCTTTTCGGCAGAACCATGAGTGTCAGAGTTTCCTGCTTTTAATATTTTTTCATGTTTTGACAAAAAAACTGTATGAACGCCGGTAACAAATCAACGCGCGCATTGCCGTAATCACATTCCCTTTATGAATCAGGATCCGAAGACTGTTTGCTGCTAATTCAAGCAGAGAACGAATGGCTGCCTCCCTCTCTACTTATGTAAAAAAGCAGCAACTATAAACTGCTTATGTAAATTTGAAGCTGCAGTTCTTTATTATTATTGACATTTTACGATTTGAATAAATTAGTTTTCCTCCGCAAAATATTCTCTTAAATTACTGACGCATTTTATAAAATCTACCAACTAGATTTGGTTAGACTATTATGATCGAAACCCCAGGACCCTGGAATTTTGAACATCTGTGAGTGGCAACTTTTAAGCGCATGTGCGAACTCTATGACCCGTTCTGAGGCCAGTGTCGTGTTCTTATGGGCCACAATCTAGCTTAGTCATTGATTGCAAGCCTACCAGTAGAACAGTGGCAGTCCTCCAAAGCATGTTGCAACAGACGAAAGCTGTGGCCTCCTTACAGATTTATGCAGCGAATTCGACGGGAGAATACTAGTTTTTCCTGAATAACCCAGATTTATTATGCCTGCCCTATAGAACTGGTATCTTTGGAAGTTTTACAGGAATCATTGTCACAGTCCCCCAACCGTCTTCTTTTCTCGTCCGAGTATGGGGTCGGCAATAGCAGCGGAGTTCTTTTGTGCAAACAAAGTAGTGTTTTTTACGAGTAATTTCCCTGAGCATCGAAAGATGCATAAACATATGGCCTGTGCAGTAAAGTGCGTGATTGATTCGATCATCTTCTCGTTTGACTTATGAGGCTTTATCATTGTCTCACAGTTCTTTGCTACTTTCAAATTTTTTCATAGTTGCATCTTTGCTTTTGTCGCTTTGAATCGAAGGCGTAATTTGCCTAATGTAAACACTTCAGAAATAAGGTTGAGCTTTTTTCAAATAAATCAACAGCTGAAAGTCTGTATAATGTCAAAATTGGGTTGGCACCATTACGACCCATGAGCATTCTGTTACAAATGGTTTGCCTTTCTGTTCTGTGGTATTGCAGAATTTCCGGTGGGCTACATTTCATCCATGGAGGAAATGCTATTCGTTCTATAATACTGATTTATCTACTATAGTGCATCCATTTCTTTGAGTTGGTTAGTCTGCGTGGCCAGTTATCAGCCGTCTGCAAACGTAACCTTTTCTTAGTCACGCCAAACACGAAACATGCAAAAGTTCTTCATCAGATGTTGGCTCCAAGCGCTATGCTCCACATCATGAGTGCGAAAGAAAGTATCTATCAGCTACAGAAGGAGCATTGGTTGCAATGGCACAAGATTTACAATTTCACGACGTATATTACCTTAATATATTTTTCTATATTCATGTTCTCAGTACGTTTGAAAGCTGCTTTTGGCTTAAACACGCGTTTGCACGGTTTCCTCTGTGAATTGAACGTTGTGTTGATTTAGTCGGCTACCAGATCTTCAACGCTAATTGCATGGGACTTTGGGCGACATGACAGTAAGTTTCCTAAGCTCTGGTATTACCATCCGAGTGCACCGTGTTGTCTCCTTTGCTCGTACCACATCGCCTTACGACGATTTTTTAGTTGATAAGTCCTATGCACGATAAATTGCTTATCCAAGAATTCAAACCCATTCATGTTAAAGTTCCAAGCCGACCCCATTGTCAAACTTTTGCTGCTTCCAGTTGTACAACTTATTACTATCGTGACTCATCGTCCAGGCCATAATTTTATTAGGATCAGTTTATGTTTTGTTGCACATATTGTGTGGTTTATCGTATGAGAGACGATTCGAAGCAATGCTGCCAATTAGTATCTAGCAATTCGCTTACCACTGTCGTCCATTCGTTACTCGCTGTGTAGTCCTTTCTGTCTGATTGTAATCTGTTTCAAACAGCCATTGTCGCCAGCATTATTCAGTAACGGGCGAAAAGAGTGAAAGACCTTAAGGCCACGCAGGAAGACGTGATTTTTTGTAAAATTAATCTCCGCCTCTTGAAGTACCTCTGAGACATTATGAAAACCAGTGCTATTCCTAATACGACATAGAAGGTTTATCAGTCCTGAGAGTCTCAAGCGTTATTTGCCAAAGCGAGTGTAGTAGTTCTAATTCTGTTCATGGCCTCTTCCAAAATGAAGTTTTTACCGAACTAACACAGCTGGATGCCAAATGGCGATTTGTCAGTATGTACTAAGAGACTTATGACTACTGTCTACTTTTCTTGACTTCAGCTTCAGACGACCCAGATTTTATAATGCTCAGATCTAGGTCAGTCAGCAACGTTCGTTTGGGGGCATCTACAGACTATGGCAACAATTGAATTAATTTTTGAACCCTGCCGATTTTTCACTTTAAGCATCCAACGTTGCGATCCTTTGCTACATGCGCCGTCTTATCTTGCATGTTCTAGGAGTAGTGCGAAAATTATGATGCAGCATTGTACAAGTCCAACACCTTCATTTAGCAACATGACATTCAGCAAATACTTTAGGGTCAATCCTCTCTTAATATCTGATTGTTGACTCATTTCTACTCACACACTAACAACGTTCTCAATTGGCAATTTCAACTTTGATGTGACCGACAGGAAATTCTCCTAGCTTATTTGCTGTGTATTATTATTCGCTGAATTAGTTTCCATGTAACGTTGCGTAACAAGCTTTCTCTATAGTTCATCGAAAATTTTATTGAATGCTGATTTCGAAAATTTTTTTTAATTTTGTAGTTTCTTGCCGTTTTGATGATTATGCACATGGCAAACAGGACTAGGTTTAAAATCTATTTGTACGGCCAATTTTCGGCTGATCAGCGCTGCCCAACCGTTTGAAGTTAATTATCCATCGTAATTATTTGTCATGACGGCTAATGCTGCTTGGATGAAATATCGGTAGTATGAATTAAGACTGTTAATATAAGTCTTGTATACTGTATTTAAATCTGTCGAGTCGCTCAATCATTTCGAAATCTTTATGTTCATCAACCATTAGATTATGTGGCGGACTTGCCGGATTGACTCAGCGGAACTTTGCGTCTGACAGTGACACAATCCGACTCTACTTCCACTCCGACACTTACATAGAAAGAACCGGTTTCTCGGTGACCTACGACATCGGTACGAAATGTCTTGAAATTTCTGTGCACAATCAGTCTTGTTATAGTTCTCGATACCTGCGCGAATATGTCATGTCCGCCGCACTCAGAATGTGTTCTCAGTACCACGGGCGCGAAGTGCCAATGTCTTCACGGCTATGAAGGAGAAAGTTGCACAGGTTTGGAATTTTTTCAGTATCTTGAAACCGTACGAGATCAATAATATTTCACTGATGGATATGTAAAGCATTAATACGTAAATATGGTACGTTTGCTCAGTTTTGATTGCCTATGCATACTTTGTTGAAGCGGCAATGCGCAACGTTCACAGAGTGATCTTTCAGCCTAATCAGTCAGTGCTGGTTGTTCCATACATTGGAAACACCTTAAGGGCTGAAGGCATGTAGACAGAAATTTCATCAAGGCTTGGTTCATTGTGGCAATGTCAAGCACGGGGTCATTAATGAGACGTCAAATTCACCCTAACTTTCAAGGCAAATTTAGGCTTCGATAAGCAGCCTCGCAAGTCTTACTTATAGCAGTCAAAGGGAACCTCGTCGAACTGTAATTTACAAGATACGTTGCATTGACAAAGTGAACAGACGAGAGATTAATAGATGACATCATACATAAGCATCTATATGCAGAAATTCATCAGCAAACCGAATCATCTGGCATTGCTTTTGTCGCTGCAGTAGGAAGTTGCTTCTTCGGCGATGCGTATATCCCTGCAATATATTGTAGAGTTGAACGTATGGGATAGGGTAGTAGAGCATGTTTATTCCCTGATACAAAAGAATTTATATTAATTCATGCATAATTCACCCAGCACAACATTTCACAGCATGTTGTAATTAGATCTTGAGGGAGAAACATTCATACAAGTTCGCATGGTACTTGGATATGCGCAGTGTTAGGTGACTTTGTTGCTCTATTCGTCAGAACAGCCTCATGTTCATCATTTTGTTTCAGTAGCTAATACTCTTTATGTTTAATTATGATACATATCTGATATATATCATGTATATTCAAATCAGGGATAATCAGTCCGTAAAGCGTCGAGCTCACAACCGATCGGTCCCAAATTCAAGTCCCGGTCAGGGTCACTTGCCCTTCTTCCTTCCGATGTAGATGTATAAGTACCATTCTATGGGAAAGAAACAGGAAATACGCTTGTCACGTGGCTGTAGACTCTGCCTTAATAAAGAAAGTCACTCCTAGTTGATGGCATAGAAAGGGAGACCAGCACCGCACCATCAGCTCCATGAAAAGAAGTGCGCCAAAATGGCCTTTTCATGAAAGTAAAGGAAATCCTACATTCTAACGGTGACTAATAATTAAAACTCTTTATATACTGCCGCAGAATCTTCAAAAGCGTATCTTCGTACGCTGCAGTAAATTCATTGATGCGTAACTCTTCCAATGCCAGATGCAGATACGATGAACATAGACGACGTAAACTGCTTTCTGGGCAACTAGGAACATGAAGCGATGTAATAGCAGAACTGATGCGCCGAGGGAATAACATATCATTATTAATGCACCTTTTATGCAATTCAGTTCTAAAGTTTTGCATTTTAACATTTAAGTTGCCAAGTAACATGAATTTTGCTTGCTGTTTAGAAATCGACTACTGTTTGCATGTGACATGCAGTAATCACGGTACTTGCAACAAAATGATAGGCGGTTATAACTGTTCGTGCAACAAAGGATGGATGGGAAAAGACTGCGAATTAGGTAAGTAATCATAATAGCGTTTTAGATTTCACGTTCAAATTTAGCGGCTGAATTCTGCCTCCAAAATCGTTGTGGCAACGGCGGCCTTTGTAACGATGATTCCTCTACCACAGATGGCTATATATGTGAATGTATTAAGCCATCCAC